GTCAAACCGTCTGAGGTTAAGGTTTCCACAGCATAAGTCTGATTTTTTAGGTCGTCTTTTACGATACAAGCTATACAACTTTGGAACACCCTCCCCAATGATATTAAGAATGCCACAAATAAAAAAGTTTCAAAGTTCTTCTCCGAGAACATTACCTGAAGGCTAATTGACTTTATTTTTCCTTAATTCTTGTCTTTCTTTTCTTCTTTTTTTTACTTCAAATATTTAATTCAGTATATATTATTCAAACATTATATTATATATATCATTCATTTGGATATTTATTTACGAAGTTTATAAGCATGTATATATATGATAATATAATATATATACATATTATATATATATATATATATATATATATATATATTTATTATTGTACGTATATTTATACTATATGTGTGTATATTTAAATGTATTGTGTATGTATTTACTTTGTATACAATATGTAACGTAATTAACGCACATCCTCAGACACCCCAATTAGTATATTATGTTATAATCATAATACATACCCTGAATTTTTAGTTAAACATTTTTATGCACTGATTATTTATCAAATTAGTTATACTAATTCCGGAAGAATGTTGTGGTCACAGTACAAATCCACGAAAGCAAAAACTTAACGCGCTTGAAATAAAGTTCATTTTTCTTTATTTTTATTGATTGACAGAATTAGTAATAAATAATAATACAAATAAAACTGCACTCTTAAAAGTCTTATTGCCTTAAGTTACGGTCCATTTCATTTTGTTTTGACTGTACAGATTTAGTGTGACTGTAATTTACGTAGTTTTAACTATTTTTGGGATAAAAAATTACCTATATTAAAATGATAGGAATCGATTCAGTAAACGATTCTGAACAAACTACTTTCTCAAAGTGCGTTAATTATGTTACATGTTGTATATGTATATTTTAATGTATGTGCACTTATTTATGTATAATGGTCGCACCAGCCAACAATTGTCCTTGGTACTCAGGGTTGACTGGCACAGAATGCCACATGGCATTAAGTCCGCCTTATGTACCCTTTAGCTTAAGGTATTACATGTAAGTTTTTAAATAAATAAATATTGCCGTGAGTGGCCTACCTATCAAAAAGTGGCCCGGGGTAAGAGGGGAGAATCATTGGGTGAAGGGCTTTGGCGACAGAGGGGACGACTATTAAGGATAGCTTCAATTTGAAGGAATAGCGAGCTTAGTTCCTCAAAGGTTATGTGTGTGTTTTTTAGTAATCTGTACAGATGAAATTTGGCCGATTTAACCCCTGCTTCCCACAGGCCTCTAAAATGAGGAGCGTACACCGGAGAAAAACGGAATTCTATGCCTTCACTAGCTGCAGAATCGAAGTTGGACTTTGGACTTTGGTTTGGACTTTGGAAAAAAAAAGAATTTATTTCTTTACTGACGGCAACAAAATATTTACCATTATCGCACCATATAGTTTGAGGTTTGCCTCTACGAGCAATAAATCTTTTAAGGGTAAGTATAAATGACTCCATTGAAAGATCACTTACAGGTTTTTCGAGGTGAACACATTTGTATCTAAAGCAAATAAATATACATAAATAATATTTTGTTATTTTACATCTTACGCCTTACAGCTTACGCCATCCATGGCAACCAGCCAGTCTATTTGTATATAAAAAGGTTCACTGAATACCTACAGCACAGGGCGGAAAATCTGGTTCGATACGGTCTGAGGGTAAGTTCCCCATAATATTATTTAAAACTTTACCCTGAAAGCGACGACAAACGATAGACGCGTGATATGCGTCGAGCTAAGTTTCTACCTCCTAATGCCAGTAGTTATCTCTTATAGAGGCGAGCAGATGTTGGGGACCGGCATGTAGGAGGCCCTGATGTTCTTGTTGAAACAAATGTTTAGTTAAATTATGGTCTGACTTCAGTAATATGGGATGTTTTTTCTCATATGGGTAGGCCGAGGCGTCGCGAAGTTCTCCGACGCGTATTATACCATTTGTGTCAATAAAAAGATCAAGGGACACGATAGTGACTTGAGGTTTTAAAGCCTTGCCCTTATTTAGTAGTGTAAACTCGTTTGGGGAAGATTCCCTTTGTGAAAGCTTTATGAGTGAACTAAGAGCGTTTTGAAGCTCAGAAACCTTGAGCAGTGAGCAGTCAGTGAGAAGTTTTATGAGTGAACTAAGAGGTTTTAAGTCAGAAACCTTGAGCAGTCCTGTGTGTCTGATGTCTGAGTTTTTATAATTTTAAATAAATCTTAAAACTCGAGCAACTACTCTGGTTTAAAAAAGACAATTTGGAAAATTTCGTAAAATCAATAATATTATTTTTGTGCACGTTAGATGCAGGATTCCTCGCTAAAGCGACATGAGCGTTTAATTCGGGCAACTCTGTATTTAGGGTAATTGATTGGGGTCAAGTAGATTCTGGTTGGGAAAGAAAGGGTGGTCCATGCCACCAAATAGTTAAAGTTTCTACCTGATTGGAATCAACGCGGGATACAAAGTCCGCGGGATTGAGATCGGTAGGCACATAATGCCATTGTGCAATGTCGGTCAACTCTTGTATGGCTGCAACTCGATTTGCAAAAGGTTTTAGTTGTGCTCTCTGAGCGCAACCATCCAAGCACCACACTAGAGTCTGTCCAATACACATGCCAATTGATAGGAGACTGAAAAGCGCGTGAAACTGTGGAAGTTGGTTAAACTCCAAGTAAAGCGGCGCAAAGCTCAAGTCTGGGAACTGTAGTGGGTTTGATAGGAGCTACTCGAGATTTTGCACACACGAGACCGACAAATACATTACCGTCTTCGCAGTAGATCTTAAATAGATACAACTACCATAGGTACGTTGCGAAGCGTCGCAGAAGCAATAAATTTCAATATATATAGGGTTATCGATTAAAACTCGCCCTGGGGCTTTCAATGTTGACAAAATCAGCGGTAGATAGATTAACACGGTGGCGAGAAGCAATCCCTTTAATAGACATTACTTCGGAATTCGTTGCAAATTCCCTGCTACTAGGTTGGATTTCGCGATTCGGATGTCCTGCGGAATAATAACTGATCGGGGAATGCAGTTTGAATCATCGCTGTTCAAATATCTTTCAGACTCAATAGGTTTCCAACACAAGAAAACAACTGCTTATCACGCTGCGTGTAATGGAATGGCGGAAAGACTGCACAGTCAGTTGAAATCGACTACAGCTTGTCACACTAATCAACACTGGACTTACACACAACACTGGATTTGCCTCTAGTACTATTAGTTTAGTTATGGTAAACCGTTAAGACTACCGGGAAAGTTATTCTATCTTTCCTTAACAACAACCACCGATGTGACGGATTTCACTGCGTGTCTACATGCTAACATGGAAAATATACGTCCATTGCCAGCGTACGGCATAGTGAACACAAGACATTTGATTTCAAAGACTTGCCAACAGCTACGCACGTGTACCTGAGAGATGAAACAAAATCGCGAGCATTTCAACCATCTTATTCAGGGCCATACAAAGCAATAATAAAGTTTACAAACTTCTAATTAGAGGTAATGAAGTCACAGTTTCCATAAATAGGTTAAAACCAGCCTACACAATCCAGGAAAACACTGCACTCCCAGATCCCGTCATAATACAGCGGCCTAAAAGTATAGAAGACACCAAACATTTAAAAAACGTTCGGGACGAAGTATGAGATTCCCAAATTACTATTGCACGTCGTGAGACGATGTCTGGGGGAGGGGGGAGGGATGTGGCGTAGCCAAATAAATATATGTCTTGATCTGACAACGCGCGTTTTCCCTTTGTTTCCTCAAAATAAAATCTAGTTGCTAAATGGATATTAAAGTCAGGCATTAAGTCCGCCCTTTGTAGTCTTTTGTAGGATGCAATAAAGATTAAAATAAATTAATTAATTAAATTCTACAAACAATTGTGTTAGCCTTCTGCTTAAAAATTGTGTGTTGTTACAAACTGTATTATGGTAGTAAAATTACTGTTAATGTGAACTTTAAAAGAGTTTGTATTCATAGTATATATATTTAAATCTCTTCGGTATTCTGTCAGAAATCTGTGTCTTCTTTGTCTTGTTATTCTCAATTTATGAACATTAATTATTATAATCAATAAACTCTAATCTGTGTATATTGGGAATTGTGGAGCTGACTTACAAGGGGAATAAACATTGTAGCAGCGACGAGTGAGCTTATTTTATCACAAATTTCACTACATGCTCTTTAAACGGTGTTTGTTACACGCATATTTGTGCGTTTCACTAATATAACTTCCACTACTAACTTCGCAATGATATTCTCTTAAACTATTATATTTCTTAAAATATAATATTTCTGTGGAGATATAACTTATGCGTTTACTAAGATTATCCAGTTTAAGACTCATAGATATGTATAATAATAAAGTCACGTTTACTAAATTTGTAAAAATGTAAAAATTTCATAGTTGGAAGCAATAAGAGAAGTTATAATCTGTTTGCTAAGCATGACAATGGCAAATCCTCTTTACCATGAAAGACGCCTAGCCAAAACAGTCGACTTTTGACGGTTAAAAGGAAAGAAGAAAAAAGAAACTTGTAATTATTTTTCAAGCTTTATTATTTTGACACTACTACTACTATTACTTGAATAACCTCAAGGCCAATCATTTTCTACTTTCAACCGACTTCAAAAAAGGAAGAGGTTCTCAGTTCGACTGTATTTTTTATGTGTTACTTCAGAGCTTGTTTCTAGGTGAACCGATTTGGATGATTTTTTTTTATTTGAAAGCCGGTGCCTTTCATGTGGTCCTATATAAATTTGATCAAGATCTGACCAGTAGTTTTTGTTATCCTTAATAATGTGTTCTCATTTTATTTATATTGAAGATTTTGGAGAACTTACAACTAGTTACAAATTTTTGTACATTGCAACAAAAAATAATATACTGAAGTTCAATTAAAAGTTTACATTTTTCTAAAATTCTGAAAAATTCAAAAAATTTCAAAACCGTATAATATTCATAGCTGCTTAAGTACATATCGCTCTACAAACTCCTCGTTGACTTCCAGTTGCCTTTCCATATAGACCTTGGACTCGCGGCAGTAAGCGAGCACGGGTTCAGTCCGGTCCTCATCGCAGTACTTAACATAAGTGTCTGGGTCGTCAAAGGTCTTCTGTGCTGTTTTGGGATCCATTAACACATATGGGAAAAAACCAATAGCTCCAAGAATAGCAAACATGCGACTTCTCTCGCACCAATCTACAAATACTTCGAAATTGTAATTTAATTCTTTCAGCCTATTCTTTGTGTCGTCGTCCACAGTCTCTGAGAAGATCGTGAAGTAATGGCGGAAAATTTCCTGTTCATGTCGCTCTCTAAACTTTCTCAAGGTGGTCAAATATAAGAAGACCATAAGATCGAATGCAGGGGGTCCTAATCGTAAGCACTGAAAATCTATAAGTAAAGCATTTATAGGTACATCCCCATTGTACTTAAACATGATGTTATTTACCCACAAATCCTTATGAAGTAGCACATTAAGGGTTCCTTCATATTCTCTAAGCGTAGCACAGGTATATACAAACTGTTTGACAAGCGTAGGCTCTAAATCTCGGGGATATTGATCAAATTTATCAGAGAATGCCTTGAGGAGGTTCACAGTTAGTTTGGCGGCCGCTCTCAACCACGGAGAATCACAGAACGTGGGTTCTGTCAACACATTTCTGTACTCCCGATTGAAGTCAAAACTTTTGTCGTTTAACATGCGTCTAGTCACATAGTTAGCAAAGGAGGCGTTGAAACGCGCAATGGACGCCGTTGTTAACAGCGTGTGCTTGAGATCGAGAACTTCATGGTTCATAAACGTTCTGTAACCCTCGACAGCTAAGTCCGGCATCACGAGGATCCCTTCATTATACAGATATGCTTTTGCGCACCACGGATTCGGTCCTAGAAGAAATTATATTTCATTAAGTACCTATTTTCTTGTAATAAATAGTTTGATGGGATGTAAAGGAGAATATGTGAAATGTTTCCATAAATATCAAGGTTTCAAATACACAGAGCAGTGACCTTGGAGGGTGGGGGCAAGTGGACTAGGGCCAACAACCGGAAATACCTCAAGTCCGGAAATCTATTGAAAGGGTCAAGCTGTCAGTACTCACTAAATCCCAACTCGTTTTAAAGTGCAGTGCAGGCGTATTATAGAAAATATGTAAGAAGCGCGAATTAGAATGAGAGAAGAAATACAGAAATGTGGTCATTAAGAAGTATGTTGTATGTATGTTTTGGACCGATACAACTTAAGGACCTTCAAAAAAAAAGAGCTTATTCTTTTATAAAAGGCCGGCGACGCACCTGCGATTCCCCTGGTATTGCAGTTATTCTGGAACGGCGGTCGACACTCACCATGAGATGAGCCGCATGCTCGTTTGCCTCCTCTTCTATAAAAGGAAATGGTATGGGAGACTCTGAAAGACTAAGAAAAGTGTTGTTAGCAAGATGGTGTTATGCGCTTGTATGTTGTGTGCTTCGGTGAATCGGTCACGTAGAAAGAATGAACGAGGAAATAGTGACAAAGCAAATTTATGTTGCAGAAAAGAATGGCAGAGTTAGCAAGGGACGCCGCATACAGCAGTTTATGGACCAAATTGTCGATATATAATATATGAACTGCATTAAAAGTACCCTTGACCGAAGAGCATGTATGCTTAGGTATATCGATGTTAAGTAGACGAGTTAGGTGTGTCACGTTAAATCCGTAGCCCATGCCTACCCTCAGAGTGACAGGCGTGAACGTTTATTGTATGTTATATGTACGGAAGTGTACTTAAAATCATGAAAAGACAATGATTGAGTACCGATCGTAACACATCCAGCTTTCTACAATGGGATTTCCATGTGATAAAGAAGAAGAAAATTTATTTTCATACTTTCAGATGCTTTCATATTTTTTTACGTGGTAGAGCTCCGCTGCAGCTATTATGGTTGTAGCATGAATGCGTCGGCTCGACCGGGGAAGGACCACGCTCTCACAGAATACCATCGTAACGTTGCAGCTTAATACTGCTATTTCATATGGTGAGAGTAGAAAACCATTGACCCGTTTTACTGGAATCGAGGCATTCCATCTTAGTTCTCAAGGGTGACAACGCATCTGCATTTTGATTCTTAATCGAGGTTAAATATAGATGTCTATGGGCCAGAGCATCCACTTACCATCGGGTGGACTGTGTGCTCGTTTGTAACCCTTATCCTACAAAAAAAGATCGCAGGCGGTACAAACTATGAAATGAAAATTTAGCGCCTGCCAGTTTTTAATTATCAATATCTGTGCGGACTAACTTGACTAACTTAATTGGTGCTACTTTAAAAAAATGTGAGCAACACTGTGAGAATTACAAGTGCGTCACCCACTTTTTTATCTTCGCCACTGAATCTAGTGGAGGGTCGCCGTAGACTTCGCTTTCCGCTATGTAGCTGCTGCAAGCTATACAGGGTTATTTTTCAATTTAATAGCCAAATTTAAAACTTAAGTTCAACTATATAGCGATATAACGCTATTGCAATTTTTGCGAATAGTTGAGGCTTCTACTTTTATTTGAAATTATCCCAAATTGAATGTGATTGCCAACAACGTTTTTTCTTACCAATCGACTCTTTGTGACATGCGCAGTAAAATCAGTTAAAACAATGCATTACCACGCATTTTGAATTTAATATATAAAAAGGACAGAATTTTTGAAATATTTTATACTGGTTATTGTAAAATAACCCTGTCTAGCCAGGCATTACCACTTAAGTTTACTGATTAACGGACTCAACGGTTATTCTGATTCTACAGCGAATTTTCAATACGAAGTTCATCATGCGGAGCTATTCCGAGCATGGCCCTCTCAATAGCTCGCTGAGCGACCGAGTGGTGAATTATGAAAGGCTGTTAAAGATGCGTGAAGAAATTTCTCTCGAAAACTCCATTTTACACTAAACCTGGTGTCAGCTAAATACAAATAAATCAGACATACCTTCAGCTCCATGCATTTCTTCGAAAAGTTTAAACGCCATCATCTCCCTCTTATAATAACCATTCTTATTTATGAACTCAGCCTTAGGTGCGTTACAGACAGGCACGCATTTAACGAATAACTTTATCTTCTCAACAAACCCGTTGGCTTTCACGTGTAAAGTCACCCTAAAGTGGTCGCCGAGGAACCCGGCCATTCCAATCACCGCCGGTCGCTTGTCACAAGCAATAAGTTGAAAAGTGGTAACCCCAAGTGATCGCTTTAAGATGTGATGGATCTGATTTTTAGTGAAAACATCGTTCACACCTGTATGTATTTCACACGCCATTTTGCGTATTAATAATTTTGCGCGCGCACAATCACAAAAGGAATCACACGTTTGAACTTGTACTATACGCCTTGATTATTTTATACCAAATCAAAACTATAATTGGAACTGCTGTTATCTGTAATAATGAACCAGCATTTCATATTATCGATCGTATTCCTTTGATATAGGAGTTCGCGAAAGTACGAGGTTCTTGGCGAAACGTAGGTAGTCAGCCATCTTTACTTTAGGATTGCACGGCTTATTTGCCATTCAATTCAGTTTTCATTGTTCTCTGTGTAAGGATTACATAAATAATAAATTAACATTAGTTGTTCAAATGTTTGCTTTGATTTTTCTTATGCATTATTAACAAATATCAAGTGGCGGGCGTTGTGGCTACACATTATCGTTCATTGGCTACAAATGTGTACGCGGCTTTTGTTATCATCTCAGAGTATTTGGATTCGTTCCTAAATTAAACTACGAACATGGAATGTATTGCGTGTAGACACTTATCAAAGATGATTGGTTGTGACAACACATTTCATTACGAGTGCTGCAACATAGGAAAGCAAGTGTATTTCGACGTATACGTCGAGAAAAAGCGGAAGAGTATAGTCCATCCTGGAAATGATAGTACAACCAGTTGGTAAGTGCAACATACGTTCCCTCCAAGCAAGTCATCCAGATATCTCTAATATCTGATGTGATGAAAAGCTGCAACGATTAACACACATTTAAAATCTAGTAACAGTGCATCTCTCATCATCATTTTATACGTGGTAGAGCCACGCTGCAGCTATATTATGGATGTAGCACGAATGGGTCGGCTCGACCGGGGAAGGACCACCGCTATTGCAGTTTTTGAAAATACGTGTAAATAAGGCTTGTACTTTTCTTTGGAAATTATCTCAACTTATGGGCAACAACTACGCGTACGCGCGCTCCCGCTGAGTGCGATTCAATTCACAACTGATTTGTCGACCGATCGACAAAAGTAGGCATAATGCAATCAGTTAAAAGAATGCATACCTAATGCATTCTTTTTTTAACCAGGCATTCGGAATTTAAAAGAAAAAAAAAACAGAATGTTTGAGGAATTTTTTATTTAAGTTTTCTTTACCATTCGCGTATATTACTTATCCTGAACCTTATTTGCAAATTTGGCCGTATATTGCAAAACAACTCTGTACAGTTTTGTACGTGGTAGAGCCAAGCGCGAATATTAGGAGGCCGAATATTCGGCGCTTCGGCCAAGAGCGTGGCCGGGTATTCGGTATTCGGCAATATCACTATTCGTGGCATCTCTCACAAAATCATTTGGAAATTTTATCCTATATTTTTTTGGCTCCATTAGTGCACAGATAATTGTTGAAAAAACGTATAACGCGACGCTGCTTTTCATTTTTGATTAGGTTTTACATGTCTTTTTCTATCTGTATTTAGCTTTTTATGGTATACGAGGTCATATAGTTAAATAATTTAAATGAAACTGAAACTCCCATCGCAAACTTATTTAATTTGTAGTTAATGTTTAGTTATAAGTCAGTTGCGTAGCAGGTGGGGGGGGATGGTTCTGATACTTTTGGTGAAAATACTAAAAGTTGTAGTATTGATAGTAAAGAAACTAAACGTGGATTATATTAAGTAAAGGGTGGAGATTAATATTGTTGCGCGCCATAATTAATACCTGGTACAAGAAGACATTAGTTGCTACTAGCGCCCTCTAGTATCGAGTAGCAGAACTAGGAGAGTCAGGATCCTTCTGGAGCTTTTCATGCCAGAACTTTCTACACCTAGTCAGTCGGGAATGGTATGTACTCGATTATTCGATTATTCTATGTACTCAATTCTTATACATATAAGGCCGGTATCGACCGCAAATCGGGTCAGTATTGAACTGGCAATACAAGCGAATACTAAAATGATCAGTAGTACAATTGTGTTTTATAATTAGTTTTTTAAGTTGTAATTGGTGTTCTGTAATTAAAGTGTCAATTTTGGTAATTCAATCGGCAGTTTTTATTGTCACAAACCCCAAGCTCGTAACAATATTTAAAAAAAAATACATTTTATTTTTTGTTTTATATTATAGGACACAAGAACTATAGAAGGAACTACTACTTTCACTCGGAAGAGAAGGCCAAATTGGCCTCTACAAAGCTTGGCGTGTTCAACAGAGAGGGACCGTATTTCATACCGGCACACCGCCTGCAACTTTACAAGGTGCAGGGTCGGCCGCACATGGAATACTGTTCCCATCTCTGGACTGGGGCTACCCAGTACCAGCTCCCTCCACTTGACCACATCCAGCGCAGAGCGGTTTGAATCGTCGAAGACCGAGTGCTTTCCGATCGACTGGATTCATTGGCACTCCGAAGAGATGTTGCATCTCTTTGCGTATTTTATCGCATCTATCACGGGGAGTGTCTGGGTAATTGTTCGGATTAATCCCAGCCGCCAAATTTTAGGAACACACCATGAGGCAAACCTCCCGATACCATCCACACCATCTGGAAGCTTGGCGGTCTGCTAATGTACGTTTCACAAGGAGTTTTCTTCCGCGTACGACCTCTCTGTGGAATAAATTACCACCGGCGATTTTTCCGGACCGATAGGACCTGGGGACCTTCAAGAAAAGAGCTTACTCCTTTCTAAAGGGCCGGCAACGCACCTGCAATTGACCTGGTGTTGCGGTTGGTCATGGATGGATGGAGGATGGCCCTCTTCTATTAAAAAAAATACTACTATTGTGTTTCGTTTGATGAGTGTAGAGAACCAGAGACCTTTTTTACTGGCAATATGGCACTTCATCGTATTCCTCGCGGGTGGCAACGCATGTGTATTTTGATTCGTTAACGAGGATAGATATAGATGTCTATGGGCCTTTGCTACCACTTACCATCAGGTGGACTGTGCGCTCGTTTGTCACCCTTATACTATAAAAAAATATATCTAACCTAACCTACATATCTAAACTTCAGAAAATCAAATACAATATTTACTTACATGATAGGAAAAACCTACAACCAACCACATAAGATGGCTGATTTCGACTTCCTGTTCTTATAATTATTTAAAATATGCTATGTTATATATAAGTTCTTATTGATGCTTAAAGATCATTTTGTATATTTAGATATATATTTTATAAACATTAGAGTGCCTAATAATGTAAAAATATATTGTTTTTACATTACTATTGCGCCACAATTAATTTCTGATACATGGCAACATTAGTTACCACTAGCGCTTTCTAGTATCAAGTAGCAGAACCAGAAGAGTCAAGATCCTTCTAAAAATTTCTGTGGAAGAACTTTCTAGAACTATCGGCACCTAGTCACTCGCGACCTGTATGTACTCGCAAATTCTAGATGTTTCTACCGTAGAAGGTTCTGAAACTATCTGAGACTATATATAAGGCCAGTATAGACCGCGGCCCGAATCAGTATTGAATTGGAATGGAATCACAGTTTGAATTGAATTGGCAATTCAAGCGAATACTTCGAAGCGATACAACTACGAACTAAAGTAATCAGAAGTACAATTGTGTTTTGTTGTTAGTGTGATGTTAAGTTGTAATTAGTGTTCTGTAGTTAAAGTGTCAATTTTGGTAAATCACCCGGCAGTTTTTATTATCTCGAACCCCAAGCTCGTAGCAATATTACCTATCTTAACCTCAGATTATTAACACTCAAAGCTTTGACTGCCCTCTCACTAAGCCCTTCCGTTCCTTCACTTTAGAGCACATTAATTAATGCCAAAATTACCGGACGTAATTTAACCTGAACCAGCAACGAACTAAACTAACTTAACTAAACGATGTTGCAAGAAGAATAGAATAGAGTAATTTTTATTAAACATAGATTGCAAACTAATATACATTGAAAGGCACTTTTTTAATTTTTTAATTCTGTTACAGGTTCGGAAAAGCAGTCTTGTCCTCACAACAGATACAACAATATGAGATTAAAGGTTATGGTTCAATACGATTATTTACATTACAGCCTATAAAAGCCCATTGCTGAACATAGGCCTCCCCCATAGATTGCCTAAAGGGGGAATTTTCACATAGTTGCCACGCCAGGCAGGCGGGTTGTCGACCACAGTTTTTTTATTGTTATGATTTGTTACCAGTAAGATTCTGCTGCCCATCTCTAGTTTCAGTTTCCCTCTGTCACCATTTGTGATATTCATGAAGTCAACAGATGGTCATGTAAAAATAGACTCGTGGAATATCTTCAGACTCTTTCATACACAGATACAGAACAATTACTCCAAATTATCTCATAAATATTCACAGACATACACGCACACATGCTAACAGTCACAAACTCTCATACTTACGCTACAAAAATACGTGGTTTTTTTATTTTTTATTTTTATTTTTTATTTTTTCTCTATATATTATTATTTCTAACCATAACATAAGTAATCTCCTTATAATATTATACTTGTTGCCAAGTAAATTCGGGGGGGGGGGGGGGGCCTGGTGACCTGTAATACGGGTCTTTGGACCTACACGAGCACCAGTCTCCCATGAATGACAAAATATTGTTAAAATAGAGATGTAACACTAATGTATCTTCCATGTCGTTTGTGGTGAGAAATAAATAAATTATTATTATTATTATTTATTTTTAGTATTCTCTCGTTCCCGAGGTATTATACCTTTTTCGCGGGCTGTAAAGCAAACGAAATCGGTTAAGTGTTTTAATTTTTAGACAGGAACTTACGAACTATTCTGCAGGTATTCAATATTGTGGCTTTCTGTAGTGATATAAAGATAAGCTTATGGATATCTAGCTCCTTTAAGCTAGAAAAGAGTGAATGGGGAATGACGCCAGTTGCTGATATTACAATAGGTATAGTTTTTACAGTTTTTACTTTCCACTGGGATTTTATTTCGATGGATAAATCAGTATATTTGGCTATTTTTTCATTGTAGGTAGAGGTCAAATTGTGAGTGTTTGGTATAGCAATATCTATGAGATAAACTGATTCATTTCTTTTGTCAT